GCATGAGAGGAGGCAGAGCAGGAAGATACCCAACCTCTGTGACTTAGGTTTGGCTCTTCTGCACACAGTAGCATTGCCCAGACTACTGTCAGGTCGAGAGACTTAAAGAAGTACTACAATGACTCAACTTTCTCAGATTTCTAAACATCATAGATTTTATGTTGCTCAGTTTTTAAAGTATACTCTGTTGGGTACAGGAATCACAAGCGATGCTATAACCAGATGGGAAATGTTAATGAAGTTGACTACTCCAAGAAATTACTAACTGACATTGACTGGGCACTTACAAGGTACCAGGCAGTAAACCAGCACGTCATACTGATGGCAGCAGCAGCCGCCTGGAGCAATCACTGTCATGAGGTGGGCTGCAAAGGAGGAGGAGCAGCAGGTGCTGCACCCTCCATGGAGCTGGGAACAGGCAGGAGCCCCACCCCGTTCTGAGCTGTGGGGGCAGGAGTCTCGCCCTCCCGGCACAGCTGCAGCCGCCCAACCATGGCTGCAGACCCAGGCATCCCTGCACTCTCAGGGACTGGGAAAGCTCCCTGCCCCCACAGCCTCAGAAGTGACTGCTTCTACTTCCTGGCATCTCCCCACTCCAGGTGCCTTGTCCAATATCAGAATAAAGTTGAGACTGAGCCCAGGCACTGCTGTGACCTAACCAGGTGTGCACATGCTTGGGGCAGCACTAACACACCAGCCCCCTGCCGCCTCAGCCCCCTTCAAACTTTGGGCACCAACAAGCATGAAGGGGAGGCAGGGGGGTGCTGAGAGCAGCTTGGTGCAGACCTGCAGGTGCCGCTTGGCACATAGCCTGAGTGCCATGGGCACCATGGATGGCAAGCTGATGGCAGCAGGAAGCAGACAAGTTTCTGGGCAGAAAGGGGTGGGTCCCTGGTAAATCCCCACCTTCAAGCCTGGAATGGCCTGAAGCCTGGAGGCTGGGCTGCCAGTTCCAGGGACTAGAGTGAGAACTTATTTTGCTTTTTCCAGGCCAGCTCATGGCCACCCATGGACCAATCAGCACGTGCTTTCTCCCCTCTGAAGCCCATTAAAAACCTCAGACTCTGCCAGACTCGGGCAGAGGACAGGACAACCTGCCTGCAGATAGGAGCTACTCACTCCAGGTCTCCTCTCCGCTGAGGGCTGCATAGATGTCGGGATGACCTGCCTGCAGAAAGGAGCTACCCACTTTGGGTCTGCTGAGAACTGTTCTGCCACTCGATGAAGCTCCTCTATACCTTGCTAACCCTCTAGTTGTCTGCATACCTCATTCTTCCTGGATGTGGGACAAGAACTCAGGTTCCGCCAAATGGCAGGACTAAAAGAGCTGTAACACGAACAGGGCTGAAACACACCCCTTGCCACTTGCCACATTGTGGGCGGTGAAGAGAGAAGAGCTGCAACCCTTTGGGGAGTCCAGACCTAGGGGATCCTTGAGCCAGGGCTGTGACACCCTTTTTGGGGTTCTGTGGTTCCTAGAATCTCCAAGCTTCTGGGCACCACCTTGTTCCCCTCGTCCAGGTGCAGGTGCCCACAGAGGAAGCCACATGCAGTACATCTGGTCCAGCTGCAGCCTCGCACAGAGCTGGCGCCTGTACTAGCGCCCGTGCTGGCACCTGGCGCTACTTGCCCCACTGCAGCAGCCAGCGTGCCTGGCTGTGTGCAGTGATTGGACCGGGTGCTCGCTCGCTCACACACTGCTCGCCACTCCGTGCCTAACTCGCACTTGGCAGGTGTGGGATCCAGGCCAGTAGTGCGAGCTGAGTGCAGCCTGCCTGGCTAAGTGGGTGGAAGGAGCCCAGCAGATACAGGCAATATTCAGGCAGAAGGTGCCACCAGCCACAGAATTTTCCGGCTGGCGAAGCAACACCCAAGAATCCCATGAAAAGTACTCCCAGTATTAGACAAATCCACTGTAACCAAAGCAAAAGTGGAGGCATGAGTCCAAGTATACTTTCATTTAACTGAATTTCAACTGCCACACTTTGGGTTAAATATTTACATGCAAAATTACTATACTAACAATAATTATCTAATTTAAAAGTTCAAAAGTAGCTATTAAAACTGGTCCAAAAGTTATATTCCTGCATTACTGGCGGTGGCTAAAAGTTAAACACATACGTGTACATAAATCAACGGAAGGAACATATTATAAAATATCCATTGATTGGAAAATTACACAGCCATTAAAAAAGAAAGCAGATACTTTATAAATGTGTTAATATGAAAAGATCTCGAAGACATACTGAGTGAAAAAGCAGTAAATGTAAATATACACTTGTATTTAAGGAAAAAAATACATCATCATCATCATAATTTGGTTAACAAACAGAAGAAACTTAAGTTACCTCTGGACTACTAGTGGGGGATGGAAGCTAGGGGTGATAAACTGGGACATAAATCTTCACTTTTTGTTTTATATTTTTTCAATACTTCTTTCAAAACCACAGGGACACACTGCTTTTAAAATTATTAAATAAATTGATTTTGACTGTCCTTGAGTTGATCTATATTTGCCAATACGGAAGGATCAGGTGAAGGGACCCTTAGTACCCCTGAACTCCTAGAACACTCCTAGCGCAGTCTCTGCCCCTCTGTCTCACTCCTTTCCCCCGGAAGAAGGAGTACCTGATCTAAGTGCTGAGAGACTGAATGAGCAGAGAGCCTAACCCCTCGAACTCCCTTTCAGATCTGCCTGCCAGTGGAGCAAGCTGAAAGTCATAATGCAGGGTGTGAAGGGTCAGCAGGTGTGCTGGCTTGTGCTTATGTAGTTGTGACAGTGATTCAGGTGAAATGCTGAAAGTCCTGTGCATTCTTGCTGCACATCTAAGTTGTGTTTTCAAAAAACACTGTTACTTCAGTCTCCATCTTACACCTAATTTTCAATTGATTTTGAATCAATTTAGAGGAGAAGGTGGGGACAGTCCTAAATCTCAACAGCCCCCAAAATGCACCATTAAATGAAAAAGAAAAACACACTATAACATGTACAGTATGATATCACGGGATGCTAAATTAAAAACCACTACTATAAACATATATGCATGCATACAAATGTGAGAAAGGATCCTGCACCCTCTCATTCCCTCGGCTCTCTCCTTCGCTCACCTTCTTGTACTGCCATGCCCTTCTCTAAAGAGATACCTGCCATTTCCCCCGGCAAGCTCTCTGGCCTGTGGAGGAGGTCAGCATGCAGCTCTGCCTTGCCCAACTCTCCAAGCATACTACAGCCTGACCTGAAGGCCTGCACAGGCTGCAGGCTATGACCTGTACAGTGCCTATGATGATATAATACCACCTATGGAGAAAGTTCTTGCAAACAGACATTTAGATAGCTCCTCCTTCCAGGTGTTGTGGAAGAGTAGCTCCACACTGGCTTGGCTGCAAAACACTTTATAGATGTAGGAGGTGGTGTCATAGAGGAAGATTACAGAGGAAATGTTGGTGCTGTACTGTTTAATTTTGGCAAAGAAAAGTCTGAAGTCAAAAAAGGTGATTGAACTGCACGTCATCTGTGAACAAATTATTTACCCAGAAATAGAAGTTCAAAGCTTTGGATGATACTGAAAGAGGTTCAGAAGGTTTGGGTTCCACTGGAAAGAATTAAAACTTATGCTAAGAATAGAAAATAAGAAATCATACCTTTTTCTTAAAAAATAAAGAGTTTTTGCTCTGAAAAAAATGTCTGAAAGAACCAATGTTAAACCGTGCGCTGGCAGATAGTGATAGGATTAGGAGACACAAAAGACAACTGTCACTTTTCACTCTATTTACTTTTGTGCTATTCAAAATTCCCCAACAAGCACTGCTATGGCCTCAATGTTTTTGTCCCTCCAAAATTCACATGCTGAAATCTAATCTCCAGTCTCTTGGTATTAAGAGGTAGAGTTGGGAGGCAATTAGGTCAGGAAAGTAGAGCCCTCATAAATGGAATTAGTGGCCTTACAAAAGAGGTCTGAGGAAGGTGCTAAACTTCCAGCAAAATTATTAAAACACATTTTAAAGTGTTTGAAAATGGCCTGCCCCTTCTGCCATGTTAAAATGCCTGCCCCTTCTGCCATGTTAAGATGCAGTGAGCAAGAGGCACTATCAGTGAGGAACAGACCCTCACCAGACACAGGATCTGCTGGTGCCTTCACCTTAAACTTCCCAGTCTCCAGAACCATGAACAATCAAGTTCTATTGTTTATAAACTACCCAGTTTAAGGGATTTTGTTACAGCAGCCCAGACTAAGACAAATTTCAATTCATCTATTACTATGGCCATTTTCAAACACTTTAAAATGTGTTTTAATAATTTTTGCTGGGAGTTTAGTAACTATAGATCAAATGTAAGTTTCTGAACTTATGATTACTAACAGTTGAGAGAAGTGGTTCTCAAATTGTGGTCTCCAGACCAGCTCCATCAGCACCACATAGGAGCAAACTCTGGGGCCCCACCCCAAGTCTACAGAACCAGAAACTCTGGGATGGAACCTAACATCTGTACTTTAAACAACGCCTCCCCGCAGGTGATTATAATGCCAGTTAAACTCTGAGAACCACAGACTTAGAGGACACCTTACACTAATCAAGCTTCAATTTTCCGATTCCTAAATCCTCAGTAACTATAAACACATACATACACACACATTAAATCATTTTTCAGCTCAATTTCTCAAATATTTGTGGAATACCTTCCAAACTGCATTACTGTAGCACCTTTTTAGTATAAATGAAAATACTGCAGTAGAGAAAAAATGGTATCTTGAAACAATTATTCAAGAGAATCTCAAGCCTCTTTAAAGGCATTAAAAAGTGCTTCCACAAGAGATTTCCTACTGGGAAGAAGCTATAACATGGCTGCCTTCATTACTCCCTGAAAAACAACCTCAGCCAAGGAACAACTTGTTAATGGAGTACATTATGACAATACAGGACATTCATAGCTAGTATTTCTCTTTCCTAATTTTACATTAAGAAGTTATTTAAAATTAAGTAGTGTTAGCATTTACAGATACCTGTTTGGTGATCGTCTTGGCCAATGTCTTCTGTTAGGTTCTGAAAGAAATATGTTCGTTATTACCAAGAAATCACATACCGTTAGCATTTTCATAAACTGATATCCTAGTATCTAGAATCTAAATTTTTATCAAATACTCTTACACAAAATGACTACTTCAAACAGTTGGTAATTTTGTCTTTAAAAGAATGACTTACCAGCTTATTAAGGGTGTGGTAGATCTTATGAATATTTGCCAGTGTTGAGAGATGAGAGTTCAGCTGAAAATCTTGAAAAGAAAAAGGAAAAATGTCAGCCTCATTTATTTCCAATATCATAAAAAAAAAAAACAAACTCAGAAAATAAGCAAATGTGCCGGGCGCGGTGGCTCAAGCCTGTAATCCCAGCACTTTGGGAGGCCGAGGCGGGTGGATCACGAGGTCAGGAGATCGAGACCATCCTGGCTAACATGGTGAAACCCCATCTCTACTAAAAATACAAAAAACTAGCCGGGCCTGGTGGCGGGCGCCTGTAGTCCCAGCTACTCGGAGGCTGAGGCAGGAGAATGGCGTGAACCCGGGGGGCGGAGCTTGCAGTGAGCCGAGATCGCGCCACTGCACTCCAGTCTGGGTGACACAGCGCGAGACTCCGTCTCAAAAAAAAAAAAAAAAAAAGAAAATAAGCAAATGTTTTGAAATAATTAAATACTATCTCAATTAACTTGACACTAAATTGTTTTAAAAACATACAATTAGTGACCTACCTCCTAGAAATAGTCTGACAACAAAGTTAAATTCCCAACCAAATGTTAAAAGTTCATGAAATTTTCATGTGAATTCTAAGGTAAAACAAAAAATACTTCAGTAGTTGTAAAATCCTGTCAGCAGTGAACTTGAACTTAATAGAAAGACATCAATGTTAGCATATTAAACAAATCATAAAAACAGATTAGTCTCAAATGAAATGTTCACTTTCCCCTCTCTTCTCTAGAAATACTGGTATAATTAAGTAAGCTCATGGCAAGAAAATGATAGAAAAGCATCTCAACATTAGTATTTCTTTTTTCTTTTTCTTTTTTTTTTTTTCGAGACAGGATCTCACTATGTTACAGCCCAGGCTGAAGTGCAGTGGCGCAATCATGGTTCACTGCAGCCTCAACCTCCCAGGCTCAAGTGATCTGCCTGAGCCTGCAGGGTAGCTGGGACTACTAGTGTGCACCATCATGCACGGCTAATTTTTCTTTTCTTTTTTTTCTTGTAGAGACAGGGTCTTTCTATGTTTCCCAGGTTGGTCTTGAACTCCTGGGTTCAGGTGATCCTCCCGCCTCAGCCTCCCAAAATGTTGGGATTAAAGGTGTGGGCCACCACACGCATCCTCAACTTCAAGTAAAGTATGTTTGCATACATATTAGGCAATAAAAATGTAAGCTTAAAGTTTATTAACAATTTCATATGTAAGCACCACTGGAAGTATTTTCATAAAATATCAGGATTTACATAAGTTCCTTCTTTCCTATTAGTAAAGGTTAGTATGAAAACGACCATGAAAAGATATTGTAACTCTCCAAGTTATACCATTCTGATAAAAAGAAAGAAAGAAAAAAGCACCCTTTACTGAAACACTTTATTGAGGACACGTATCAGATCCAAAGAACAGACCCAAAGAGCAGGTGCTACAACATCAGGTGTCTGTGCTTAGGCTGGATCCTCTGGGCTGTTACTCTGAATCCTGAAAGCAAGCTGGCTTCCCTGTTCACAGAAAGTTTTACTTTCTCTTCTAAAGCTTGTTGGGCATCCAGTTCTGAGTAGGTCTGCAGGGCAGAGGGGTTGGCAGAAGCAGAGCCCCTAACATTCACATGCGGTGTCAGGAACAGCAGGCCATACCTGTATACATACACGTGCATGTGCACTGTTCACAGTCATAGCCATCTAGAATGGTCCCAAAAACCAGCGTTTTGTGCTGAGAGACAGCCAGAGCAGGGCCTCAAGCTCTAAATGGCCCTGCAATACAGATATGCATGAATTTCTTAGCATCCTAATAGCCTAGCCATGCTTAAGGTAAATGATGACATAATGTGGCTCAGAATCTGGATTTTTCATCTAAATACAACTGCACAGAGGTTTAGAAAAGTATGTGCATTGTATACTTATTTATTTACATTTATATTTACTAAACAAGAACGGGGTAGAAGCTAGAAGCAACAACCCTCTCGCCAGCAAGAGGCATCTCAGGACCAGCAAAAGGTGCTGAGGAGCTTGAACATCCAACTCTTGCACCTCCACCTGATCTACTACCAAGCCATAGCCCCTTTTTTGTACTCTCTCAGATTAAATATAGGAAGACAAATGATACATTCCATTATCACCTTAATATATGAAGTTAAACTCTTGGGCTACCAAAAAGACAAAAAGCAAAAACAGAAAACTTTAGGCTCTGCATTCTGTTTTCACTGAGGACAAGGGAGGGGAGAGAAAAAGGGGCTTGCTAAAAGCTATTCCAGCAATGAGGTCTCTTCTAACTCTCCAGGCTATGCTTTTGTCATTTCACCACCCTGCTGTTAATTCAACTCCCAAAATTTCCATAAGAGAATCTAAATAAACCAAAACTGTTGTATGTTTCTCCCTCCTTTATATAAATATGGAAGAAGTAGACAAGACAAGAAACAAGTTATCCTCAATCTGGAATTCCAGGACTTTCGTGGGTTGGGCCCAACTCATACTCCAAATATCTTCACCACCCCACTGCACAAAACCCTTCCTTCCAACCCCACATTCTGCCCACTGCCCTTCCTACACATAACAGAATTCAAATGTGTGCCCACACATGCGTGCGCACACACACACACACAACCACTCTATTCCTGTCAAAAATCTACTTTGCTTCACAACCTGAGTCTGGAGTCTTAACAGCTGGTTTAAATCTCAGGTCTACCAGTTATTTAACCTAATTCCCAATTTTCTCATCTGTAAAATGAGGATAAAAAATTCTCCTTCATAACGTTGTTGTATGGTTGAAAATATTTATCAGACACCTATTACAACGCCTAGGTATGTCAGGTACCCATTACAATACCTGGAACATAGTAAGTGCTCAATAAAAGACATCAATTCCCACTATATTTACTTATACCATTCTCCATACCACACAGCTGTCTAAAATAGTCTCTAACTTTTCCTCAGTCCAATTCTCGCCTCACATTAATGATCCCAAGGTCAGAGCTTCCTCTGTAATTGAGGCAGGTGGCCTGGTACATCTTTATAGCCTATGATGGTGATAGAGTTTGGATATATCTCCATCCAAGTCTTATGTTGAATTGTAATTCTCAATGCTGGAGGTGGGGCCTGGTGAGAGATGTTTGGATCATGCGGGCGGATCCCTCCTGGCTTAGTGCTGTCTTTGAGACAGTCAGTGAGTTCTCATGGGGTTCAGTCATTTAAAAGTGTGTGAGACCTCCTCTCACCCTCTCTCTCTCTCCTGCTTTCACCATGTGATGTGCCTGCTCTCCATTCACCTTCCTCCATGATTATAAGCCTCTCTAGAAGCCAAGCAGATGCCAGCACCATACTTCCTGTAAAGCCTGCAAAACTGTGAGTCAATTAAATCTCTTTTCTTTTATAAACTACCCAGTCTCAGGTATTTCTTTATAGTAATGCAAGAATGGCACTGCTACTCGTATACCAGCAACTGATGTTCATAATGTTGACTGCAGATAATCACAACACACAGGAACAAAAATACAGATATTATGTTTAAAATCAGGTTCCACACATGAAGTTTTACTTTACTAAAGGCAACAGGAGTAAACAGGTTCATTTCACAAATACATAATATATGTCAGCAATTCTCCATTTCTATATCCAATCCCTATTGCTACCACACCATCATCACTTCAACCAAAAAAACAAAAAGGAAAAGGAAAAAATGAAACCAGTAACATGGATAATTTTTCTTTCGTCTCATCAACATAAGGAAAAGTTAAGAAGACACAAACTCAGGAGGAAAAAAAGACAAAAATGGCATTAAAAGATAGATTCACAAAGGTTAACACACATTGGATTTACAGTTCATCTGTTCAATGCTCATGGCAAGTAATAGACCTTGAAATCTAAAGTAGATTTCACCTCCTTAAGGCATAGATGTTAAGGATAAAGATCAAATGCTTTACCGAGAATGTATTCTGTAAAGCACTAACTGATTCATAAAAATTTCCTTCTGCTCATATTTCAATTCCAAAGGATAAATGCTAGGTTTTGACTGCATTCCATGATCAAATGGCTCTCCAAAGTAAAGCAGTGCTGAGTCTGACTCTCCTGGGTGACATGGCAACTCTATAGTCTGTATTAAAAGCAGCAATCAGCTCTGCAAAGGCAGAGCCTGTTTGATAAATAGCTTGCCTACGTTATCTTCTGGATTTTCTTAAAACTACCAACAACTGCAGATTGGGCATAAACTTGTCTGGGTTATCTGGTTGTTTTTTTTTTTTTTGGCTTGTTTTAACTACCATTTGCTGTGACCTACACAAAAGAAAAAAAACGAATGCCACTGAGGGTGTCCAAGTCCATTCCCCCAAACTACTTTAGGTAAGAGAACTCCACAATATAGGCAGAGACATAAACATTAATAAAACAATTATTGATAAGTTCAGACAATGACTGTCAATTGAAAGAAACAAAAATTAACAGTCCTAATAGTTTACTCTCATAAGAGGGTTAGAAACAGAATTTAAATCGATAAAAAGCAAAAACTTCCCTTTATACCATAGTCACTTGTAAAATATAACTGGGACAAGATCTCAATTATAATGGCAACAAAAAGCAATAATACATATAGGAATAAACTCCAATATGTACGATTTTATTGTTCAAAATGAACAATAAAAGTTTACTGAAAGATATACACATAGAGAGATATTTCTGGAATAGAAAGACCCAACGTAAAGCAATCACTTCTCACTTCACTAAACCACAAATTAATGCGATCAAAATTCCTATTCTGCTGGCTCCCCAGTTCTCCACCCCAAAAAAGAGGTGGGGAAAAGAAGGAAGTCAGGCAAGCTTGGCAAATTGATTCTAAAGTTCATCTGGAGAAATAAACATGTTAGCCCTGCCAAGAAATTGTTGAAAAAGAAGAATGAGGATGAACTTGCCCTATCAGATCGATACACAGTATAAAGCAGAGCCTGGTAAACTCTGTGTGAAGGGCCAGATCCTAAGTATTTCTGGATTTCTGGCCCATACAGGCTCTGTTGCAACTACACTGCCATAGTAACTCAAAAGCAGCCATAAACAATACATAAATATGGCTGCTTTCCAATAAAGCTTTATTTATAAAAACCAGGTGGTAGGCTGGATTTGGCCCATGGGTCATTGTTTGCCAAGACCTGGTATAAAGGTACAGTAATTAAAATGTTATACTATGTGTGCAAGAAGAAAAATCAATGACAGAGAACTGACAAACATATACGTATAAATATGCATACACAACATATAATTAAATGGCATTTCAAATTCAATGGAGAAGAGATACTAATTCAGTAAACAGAGGGGCAACTGGTTAGCATGTAGAACAAATTAAAATTAATTCCACCTCACCCAACAGTTACAGATGGAAGGGGAAGCTGTTCAAAGCAAAAGAAAACTTATTATGGGCTCAGGGCCTTGCACACTCTGCATCTACTAATCTCTCCAATCTCATCTTCTACCCATCTTCCCCTTGTTCATTCCACTCAGCCACAGTGAGCTTCCTACTGTTTCATTAACACTCCAAGAACACTCCCACCACAGGGCCTTTGCACGTGCTGTTCTCTTTACCTTGAGACCTCTTCCCCCTAATAATAATATGGTTGCTCTCACACTTCATCAGGTTTCCATTTAAATATCACCTTTGATGGATATGTTAATTAGCCTGATTTGATCACTCCACAATTATGCACATATCAAAACATCACATTGTACTCCACAAATATATACAATTATTTGTCAATTAAGATAAAATTCTTAAAAATCACCTCCTCACATAACCTTGCCAGATCAACAGAGTCCCCTCTTCACTCTATCATCTTACCATGCTTTGCTTTTCTTTACAGCATTAATGCCATCTGACATTATATATTTGTCATCATCCTCTCCCATTAGAATGTAAGCTCCACAAGGGCCTGTGAATCCTGCTTGAGCGTTTAGATTTAATCTCCTAAGGATCTGTACTTCGAACAGGGGCACCAGAGACCATGCAAATGTAATGACAGGCATGGCACATTCCAGCAGCATCAATTCTAATCAACAATAATATGACAGTCTTACATGAGAACAAACATAATCCCCACATCAAGCTGTGCTCCCGGAACCCTGAGACAACTTAATTCACCAAACTCTGCACAAGAAAACATTGGTGGGAAGTCTGAGAAGCACTCCTGTGAGTCTTGGTGCCATGGAAGTGTTCTGATCAGGAGAGTTATTTAAAAAGATCACTCTAGGACAAGTGTGCAGCAAAGATGATGGGTGATCTGAATTTAGAGTGGCCATTTATGGAGATGACTAGAGGTGACTGAGGTGGGAAAGGATTAGGGCCATTAGACAGGGGCTGTAAAAGTGGAGAGGAGAGATTCTGAGTACACTGGAGTTACAGAAAATAGACATTTAGCTCACACAAATTCAACTCTTCTCATTTGATCAAAAAAAAAAAAAAAGGAAGAAGCAAGATGAAAAGAAATTTCAGTTGTCTCAGTAACTGCCCACCCCCCATCTACTTAATGAGCATGAGACGTGACACATGAATAGTCACTCCATTGGTCTGTTTCCACATGCCAATCAGATTTTGTGCATCTCACAATATGGGATGAGTCGAGTATTTAAAATGATGTATTTTCATAAAACATGGTCCCTAAACTGAAGTTGAAGCCAAGGCCAGATGCTCAACTGGTGCTCAAATAAACAGCCAGCGATCTATTCCAATGCTGGAGGAAGGAATGGGCTGTGCTGGATTCTTCTGAGGCAGCTTCCAAAGGGGAATCTTCTGCAAGTGTTTCCAATGGTATTTTTAACACCAATGATCTTCACCTTATATAGGGACTTTAGAATCAACCTCTATATAAAATGTGATTGCAGTGTAAGGAAAAACTAACAGGACTGCACATGAGAGATGAGAGCGAGTGAGGCACTCAATGGTTCATGTTCTTTTGTCCAATTCTCATTTTATTAGCTTGAGCAGAGTCAGAGAGCTAGCTATGGCAAAGCTGGGCAAAACTCCTATCTTCTAACTCCTAATCCAAGGCTACTTCTTCCATTCTAAATTATTTCCAATCAAAGCAAAAATATCAATCTCTCTTCACACTCTGTAATACGAAAAAAGCAGCAGCATTTCCTACCCAAAGCTGTCAATAAGCAAGCACATACTTAAAATAATTTAATATTAAAGAAAAAAAAATTTAAACTGGCTGAATCTAAAACAATTCACCATTTTCCCCCCAGGGAAATAATGGTACAGAAAAGATTTAACACTAATGTTAAATTTCTATTTTTAAGCACAATTCACTCTTCTGGTCACTGAAGTGTCATCAAAGTGTTTTATTATTAAACTCCAGCTGAGCAATTCTCTCAGGTATAAAAGTTTTAAATAGTATTATGGTCTTAATAAATGCTTTTTGATGATGATGAAAATGACGAAATAAACCTGTAAAGGTGGCAGAAGGGCAAAATAATGACCATGTTATTGCCAAAAAAGCAAAATATTACTGGACAAAATTAAAGGTTACCATCTAACCTCGGCACTCATCTAAATGTCTCTGGAACAGAACAAGAACACAACTGAGGTACACGGATCTGCCTCTCTAACTGGGATTCACCAGATAATGCTTAAGGGTATTTCAAGCCATGGGTCACATGGCTCAGGTTCCTGAAAAGTCAATTTTATAACGTGATATGGGAAAAGAAAACAAAAATTGTTAAAGCCAAGGGTGCACTGTGGTTGGGAGCCACTGTTTAGATTTGCCTTGTTTCCTTCCTTCTAGAAATACATGCCCTCTTTTCCCATGGGTTTCACATAGACTAGGGATGAAAATGTCAACGATGTGGAGCAGACACCCATTCCAACCCACAAAGGATGCGTAACAACCACTTACTTGAATCACTGAGATGTTGTATTTGCTATTGCAGCATAAAAGAAAAAAAAAATTCTAGTCCTCACAAGGCTCTACGCGATCTGACCTAAGTCATCCCAATACATTATCCTTGCCTACTCCATTCTAGCCACACAATTCGTGAATATTCAAGTGAATTCCTACCTCAGGGCCTTTGCATTTACTGTGCCCCTCAGCCTCCATGACCCTTGATAGCTGTCCTCAACAGCTATCTTTCCTGAAATATTTATTTAAATGTCACCTCATCAGAGACATCTCATCTAATTTCTTTATGCAAAATAGTATCTCCATCTCCCAGTGGATTTAGATTTTTTTCATAGCACTTATCACCTTCCTGATATTA